GGTGCAAACACTTGGTAAGTGATTGGTAACTGATGAGTAAGGAATGTAAGCAATGGGTAATCATCTTGGAAAGCATTGGTAAGCATTGGTAAGGATTAGCAAGCCAAAAAGTGAAGAATCAGTAAGCAAAGTCAAAAGATTGGCAAGTATTGGCAATAGGTGAGTCAAAGACAGTCAGAACATCAAAGTATGAGTCAAGTAATGTCAGGAACTGGGAAAGCGTGCTAGAATCACATTAGGGGGAGGCTGTGCATGTCACATTTCAAAGAGATCACTTCTAGGCCAAGGTGGGATGACAGAGAGGCAGTGCTGATCTGATGCCAATATAGTACATCCAAAAGTGGACAGGGTGAGTCAGATGTCAACAGGGGTCAAGCTTTGGGGGTCTGTGGGGTGACAGGAGCATAGGGGATGGCAACTTTCCCCCCCAAACCATCCTCTCAGTGAAGCAAATAAAAACTTCATGAACAAGGCTCTGTTGGAAGAGAGGATGAAGGGGGAGTGTCTTCTGCTGTATCTTGCAACAAGGAGGCAAGATGTGCATCATACTTGTCATGGATGCGATCAGGGAGAGTGGGGAACAGTAGATTATACTGTAGCTGTTGCAATCTTGGAAGGATGATGGATGCACTTAAGAATTTTAGCCAGTGCTTAACCTGCTCCCTTTCTTTTTCTCTGGCACTGATGACTTGTTCTTGTGTGAGGGATGACTGCTGACATTCCTGGCTGTCCTTCTTTGCATGAGGGCTATGGTCTTCATCTCCATTCATCAGCTGTATCCATGTCCACCTCACCAAACACCTTTGGTGTGTGACAATGGGCCTGTCTTTATGTTTTGACAGGGTACATCTTACTGGGGCCAGGCCCACCCATATGTTGTGACAATATACATAATACTACTGAAGGGCCCATCCATATGTTGTGATGCTATACATGAGATTACTGATGGGCCCAACCTTATGTTGTGACTCTATTAAATGATACTAGTGACAGGCCTGTCTTTATGTTTCAACAGCAGTACATCTTACTGTTGACAGGCCCATCTTTATGTTGCAACAGGGGTATGGCTTATTATGAATGGGCCTGTCTAGATGTTGCAACACCATAAATGATATTACTCCCAGGCCCATCCATATGTTGCCAACTTTGTATTCTAATCATAGATGGGCCCATCCTTATGTTGTGACCCTCTCCATGTTATGATAGGTGGGCCTGCCTTGATGTTGCAACAGGGGTGCAACCTACCAGGACAGGCCTGTCCATGTCTTACAGCAACTCAGTATACTTAATTGGTCATGGGCCCATCTAAATGTTTCAATATCCTTACCCACTGTGGGCCCTCCCATATGTTGTGGTAATGCACTTACAGGCCTGTACATATGTTGCTCTCACTTTAGTCCCTCAGGCCTGTCCATGTGTACTGGCCAATCTATTTAGGCAGGCCTGTCTCAGGGTCTATATAAGTGTTGGTGTTTTGGCACACAGGCTGCCCATGTGTTGTGACTAAATGTGACTACACTATGTGCAATGAGGTTGGTATCCCATCTGTCAAGCTTGGCATCTACAACATGGGCATCAAGACTTCCAACACCTTCTCTGCTCAGGGCAATTTGGGCTCCCTCATCTGGCACATGAAGGATGGTGAAGCTTTCATTGTTGGCCAACTCCACTCAGGCAGTAACAAAGGCAACTTGACCAGCATCCATGTTATGTATTGTACCCCAGGCTGGTACTTACTGCTCCAGATCAGGAAGGAGTTCAAGTACACCAACTTCTACCACACCACCTGGTGAGATTGAGAATGACATTGTCAGCTTTCTACTCTCCATCTCCATGCTCCTTCTGCTTCTGTGATCTGTTCTGTTGCCTTGGCACTCATATAAAGATAAACTCAGTTGCACATGAGCAGTGACAACATCTGAGGTGATGACTTTACAGTATGAGGCTAAGTTGGGGTCTATCATGGGCAGGGGTTGCCTGGATACCTGGACAGGTATGGGATATGGGGTTGACTTACCCTTAGCATCCACAGGTTATCCATGGGTTTTGGCATACTGAGACCACTACTATGCATCAGAGGTCACATGATGTCATTGTTAGATTGGAAGGTATTACTGCAGTTTGTGAAAATGATGACAATAGTCAAATACTTGCAAGTTGTGTTGTGAGGATTTCCAAATTAGGAAATGAAATGCATGCAATATATAGGAGTGCTTGTACTCTACAGTAGTCCAGGATTCTGTCAATATATGTTTGTTCCAGTCCCTGCCATGCCCCATCACCACATCAGCAATGACCTCAAAGAGTGTGCACTGCATTTGTGGAATTCTGGATGGGAGTTAGTGTTGGAGTGAAACAACCCCTTTCCTTACTTGGACTTAGGCACATGATCATGTCACTTACATAAGCTGTTAGAGCACACCCATACACTAGTAAAATTTACCTAGTCCCTCAGTAGCTTGACAGACTACTGAGGGTGAGTACACTTCTACATAGATAGAATACCCTTACTAACTTGTATAGTTCCCTACAGGTACTATACTCAATATTAGTAGCTTGACAGACTACTGAGGTTCCCTACAGATTCCTCTCTGGGTTCCCCCTCTGCAACCCCACAAACGTCTTCAGTTAGAAGATGTTTGTGCTGCTCTTGGTGTCTTGCCTCACAGCTGCTATTGCCGGCAGTCCATCATGGAAAGGGACAGTGCTGTAGAATGACCACCTTCACCACTGAGGGGACATGCTCAGACAATAACCAGGGTGGTGCTCAATGCAATGGAAGACCTTTTTATGGAGGACTCTGACCTATTTCTCAATGAACTTTCTACCTGGCTTGCAGTTGAACATGACATCACTATCAGTATCTCAGCACTCAGTTGCACCCTAAATGATGTGGGTGGTGGGTTGGGCTCTGACCCAGATGAGTTGTGTGAGGTGTTGTCCATACAAGGCTCAAAGAATGCTGGATCCATGTCAATGAATCTCAGCCCAGGTGTCTTGTCTGCACAAAAAAGTCAGTTGTGAGGGGAGGTTGAATGATGACTCACCTCATGAAGTCTCAAGTCTGTCCAATAGCATACAGTGGCTTTTCTCAGCCACATCATCAATCACGAAGATAGGATCATCAATCCCAGGGTCAGGAACTGGCCCTTGTGTGCCCGCTTCGTGCATCTGGGCAGTAGTGTCCTAGAATTGCAAGGATGCCGATATTGGAAGGGCAAGCTGCTTATCAACTTTGTCATCAACTGGGGTTGGTGGGCAAGGTCAGCAAAATTGTATCTTGATACCAGTGTTGGTCTTCTTGGTCACCTTTGACAGCTTCTTCGCCGCTGTTGACTGGTTCTTGGCCATTCTTGGGTCTCTAATGTACCACTTGCTCTGCAACATGGTGGCACTGTGTGGTGCACTGATTCATTTCCTAATTTGGAAATCCTCACGACGCGACTTGCAAATATTTGACAATTGTCATCATTTTCGCAAACTGCAATATGTGACTGACCTGGACCAGGATGCGTCCAGGAATATAAAACATCACCCATGCCCAGCATCCGTCTGACTGGGTAATAGCGAAATACGTAACGTTCGGGATTGGCAATATTGGCAGTTTGTTTTCTGTGCCAATCTAACTCAAACACTGTACACTATCTTCCTTTGGACACACATTCTCCGTTGGGCTCGTACCCTTTCTCCCTCTATAACTTCTCAGTCGCTGAGTGCACAAACAAGCCAAGAAAACCCGTCGTATCGAGACGCTATTCTCCATTGGAGGTCTCAGGCAGCCTCTCGACACATTATTGAATGCACTTTCGCGCGTGTGCACGGATCAGGGTCTTTCCCTCCTTCCAAGCCTCTTTGCTGCAGGTCTTTGTGCAGTAAACTGCCACTGCACAACGCCTTTCCCCTCTTCGTCCGAGTCGGCATCTCCTACCCTGGCCATTCATGACGCAGTGCGCACTAATGCAATGGAGGTCTGGGAATCCCGTTGGAAGGTTCTTTTGCGCGATATCGTAACGGTAGACTCCAGAGCACAAAGGGCTGATGCATAGATGGCGCTCGTAGGGATCTTGGACGTGATCGAAAGGGAGCGCTTGTACACCCCGCGCACAACTGTTGGGTCAGGCAATCAGAACATGGCTCCCAGTGGTGATGCGGAGTCTGCTTTGATAGAAGCGAGGGAGCATGCGCTGGTCACAGTCGAGCGCGCGGGTCAAGTTTGTCAGTCGAATGACATGCCGGCCGTGACTCTGGCGATAGATATTCTCGACGTGCTGGTAGGAGTTGAGTGTGAACTGATAGGCGGCGAATTGCAGAGGTTACTGGGGGCTATTGTCGGTGTGAGTAGTAGTAATTTACCTGGTTTTATCTTGGCGCATCTTGCAGACTAATCTTCGGTTTCGTAGTTGCCACACCTGCTCTCCGTGCGGCCAACGGATGCTGTTCGGCGACTACTTTCGGACTTTCTTGACAATCGCGCTAAGACCTGTATGGTACACATGTACATCCTCATCCTTCTTACTGCCCTTTCTTCACTCACCCTTCCCGAATCGGTCTCGCAGTCTCTCCCTGTGCCATTGCATGACGTGATGTTCAGTCCGCTTCGGTCACATCCTTTGTCGCTCACTAGAGCTCTCCGTATAGCTTTGACGCTTGTACAATCTGTAGATGCTGCGGTAAGCGACGAAAAACTGGTGAAGGGAAAGAGATACCAATAGCAGGACACGCTAATGACGATGGTACGCTGTGGTCGAAGTATCACTCGCTAGCAGTTGCATTTACTTATGTTTCCCGTGTGTCTGGCACCGTTATCTCTAGCTTCTCCCTATATGCGTATGTCTCCGGTGCTCATAATCCAGGAGTCGTGTGGGCCTAGGTTGGGAAGTTGGGGTGCGATATCGCCCAGACTGTGTGCGACACGGACGAGGTGAGTGGCAAGAAGTAGATCCCCGACGTGAAGACGAAAGCAAGAGAAAGAAGCGCAGGAAGCGGCAACGCGAAAGGGAACAGCAAGACCCTGATATGCTAGCTTCGGATGACGTCGTCGCTTCTGCTTCGTTGCGATGTCTATGCGATGTCCGCGCTCGATTGCTACGAGTTGCGAGCTCGTCAACGTCTGTGATGCTAGGCCAAAGTGACGTATTATGAAGCGATGAAATCGAGGAGTTTCTGGGCGTCGTCGGCAACGAAGGCACGTCGGCGGAATTAGTACTGGAAATCGTGCCTATGGCCTTCGTTACTATTCTTTTCTCTGTGCAAACTGCATCCACACATGTACAGGTCAGGTCACACTTCGCGCAAGTTCCCCAAACGCGCGGCTTCCAACATGCTCAGGCCAGTGTCATTATCAAGGCGAGCATCGATATTTTAATTCGTCACTTCTCCCTTCAAAGTCGATGGTGCGGCTCTTCAGCAGCGCTTGCGCAAGAAAACTTAGGCGTTTCCCTACTTTACGTGTTAGCTGATCGGTGGATAAGCGCCATCGAGTGCGTTCCTTCGGTTGCCTCAGATTCGTATCTCATCGGAAACGTTGCCCTACTGCACTGCAATATTCAGTGCAGTCGCTCCGAAAGAGGTGCTCCAGAGGTTCATCTGCCTTCTCTTGACCATTCGATTAGAACTTCCATTTGGAACTACCAACAAACTTGAAGGACAACTGGGTTCACACCGAGACATCTCACCCCGCGACATTCTTCTCTTTGTTCTGAGGAATGCACAGTTTGGGGAGTTGTCCAATATGCCAGGTGCGTTTCGAGCTGGTTGTCCGTTCCATCAAAGAGTTTCTTACATTCATCCTTCGGTTCTGCAGGTGCCTTCCTGTCGTTTGCATTAAAGCAGACTGCCTTTCTACCAGTGGCGCACTCGCATCGATAGGCATAAAACTAGCGACTAGGGTTATGCGAAGCCCACTGCGCATTCATTCGCTGCCGGTAGGTACAGATCGTGTAACGACGTGCCCTCACGTTCTTATTCTGCTTTTCGAGGAGCTTCGATGTTTTCCCAATATTTAGGACTCGGCATACCTCGAGACAATCCCAGCACTGTATTTAATGAATGGCACTGAGATGGAGAGCAATCCGTTGTTCGACGTCGGTTTCAGCTTAAAATATCTCACACCACTGCGGTAGCACGCGACGCCCTCGATGTGCAAGTGGCGAAAGTCGCAGGGGAATTGTCTGTAGACAGTTTTTTTCCGCCTCAATGTAGTAGGAGTAGGAATCGAGGGCCCAGGACTTCCGGCGGGTCAATTCAAAAGCTTGATACACCTCTCGACAATCTTGTACCTCAAGGTCTGTATCAATCTCCTATTCTGATTATAAGTAACAGGGTTCGGTAATGCATCACCACGCGAACTCTCAAAGTGGTCCAAGCATTCGTAACACGCTACCTTCATGCCTTCACCGATCGACCTCACCTATAGGGAGGTTCATCGGAATTGAAAGAACATTATCTGGAACTGATCGCGAAGCATTGTTCTGACAGAGTGAGTGTTGTCACTTTAGACGCTTTAGTCAATGCCATCCTTATATCCAATGGCAGCCCGCTGCCGTGCGTTCAGCCGACATCGGGAGTATCTGGTCTTTGCTCTGTAAAATCTTATCGGGATCCACCAGCGACAACACACCGCCACCTCATTCGCGATTTTTCACTGCATCGTTTCCGTAGCAGGCTCTCTCGTTCGTCTGGGACGTGACAAGGTTATACATACGCACCCGCATCTAGCCTTCGTCTTGCATCGACTGCTGCTGATAACCAGGCGCATGCGTCCGCAGCAAGGAGCTACGCAGAGTAAGCTCGTCGCAGGAACACTTCTGTCTTGGATTTCACCATCTCAGCCACTCGGCTTACCAAAAGCCGTGCTCTTAGTCGACTTCTCACCACGCTCACCGTCAAAACTGTCCCTCGTGTGTACACAACCCGACATACCGCGGTTGCCGCCGAAACACAAAAAGCTGAATCTCTGGCAAAGCCTTTCGCAAAGCATGCAGAACGCGTCCTCTTGGCATACATCGACTCTATGAACGACCGTTGTGTATCCTGACACCGGATATACGACGAGAACTCGAACTTGGGCTATTCTCATTATGTGAAATGCTCGGTGAATACAATCGAGATGCTCTGATGTTTTCTGCACTGGAGTCCGGTGGTAAGACTTTCATGAAGTCGCGCTGGAGGAAGTATGAAAAGCTGCCACATGTAGGGAAGGGGTAATGCGATACGTATCTGTGGTCTCAGGACTGTCTTCGCCTCTCAGAAAGCGACAAAACTGTCCCCAAGGGAAAGGAGCACTAAGGCACATGCTCTAAAAGCTTGTTTTTTCTATTGAAGTTTAGCTGGAAAACCTATGTAGCCGCACATGAATGACTATGGCGTAGAGATTAATAGGTGTCCCATTATATTATCGCACAAATTTTACACCGAAGGGTCTGCCACTTCCATGGCTATCGGTTGGAGTCACCTACAGCGAAAAAAGATGGGATCTCAGCCGGGTGGAGGTAAGGGGGGGTAAGGCGGTAGCCAGAACGCAGCACTCGCTGGTGATGCATTCTGGAGACGGAGTTTGGGCTGTGTACTGTGGAGGGGTGACAACAGAGTTGGCATGCTCAGCGATGGTCGTCATCGACACCACCAGCGGATGTGGCCATAGCACGTCGGTTTCGTGGCTTGGATCTTGACCCCGTGAGTGTGTGGACGCCTTGGTCAGGGCACTGATCGGTTATACCCCTCGTGCTGATACTAGCGTCGGTTAGCAAAGAGACATGTTACTTGTGGATTTCCCAACTGCACGACCGAGTATTGTGGAAGAATGTCTTTGGAAACCAGATCCTCGAGGGAGGAGCTGGGGAAGCTCCACTGTGCTACAGTGTCTGGTGTGAAGGACGGAGCGAGGACGGAGAGACAAAGCCGCTGAGAAGATCGGTGGCATGTTTCATCAGGAGCATAACTAGTGCACCTATCGAGCTGCCTTCGTACCGCGGACAGCAAGGAAGGACCGGTAGTCGAGTCTTTCCCTTGCCGATAGCATCACCAGGACTCGGCCAGACGACGAGAAGAAATGGGACGGCCCAGCAGGAACTTGGTGGTGTAGTTTACACATGTGTCAGGCTGTGCACTGCAGACAGGCACGTTGAATCAACGCCACTCGAGTCCGCAGTCTCTTCATGCTCTTCGTATTGCACCGTCATCGTCCCCTACAGCCTTAGCACGCTTACTGTTCGAGACATCCTAAGACCTGTTTTCTCATCTTCACATCGCCATGGCGCCGAGCTCTCTTCGTTCCTGGTGGCGTCCGCTGCGGCGTTCTCAACCTCCGAGTCACGATGCTGGTATATTACTCCCCACTGAAGCCGCTCCTCCAGTTGCTCTGGATACAGTTGCCCCTACACGGGCTTCAGCCTACCGCTTAGATCCTACCGAGGCCAAGAAGCAGATTGATCGCATCCCTCGTTTTCGCATTCTTATCATGGGCAGAGCAAATGCGGGTAAAACAATTGCTTTACAGCGGGTCTGTAACACTACGGATCAGCCTGAGATCTTCGATGGAAACGGAGAGAAGGTACGTGGGTATGTTATGTGCTTCGTATTTGCTAACACGTCATTCTGCCAGGTTGATGCTCGGATGGTGCAGGGCTCACATCAAACTTATGCAGCGTGGCTACCATAACATTGAGGATGAGCTGGTGTTTAAAAGTAACCCGCGCTTTGTGTTCTACGACTCATGTGGATTCGAGGCAGGGAGCGAGGCAGAGCTTGATAAAATGAAGAAATTCGTCACAGACCATGCCAAGGCCACCAAACTGCGCAGGAGAATATATGCAATTTGGTAGGGACATGTCTGACTAGCATGCCTGGAAGTGCACTGACCTGGTCCTTGAATTGATTTAGGTATTGCATCCCTTTGAATGAAAACCATTGGATGGTAACAGCAGCTGAAAAGAAGTTTTTTAATGAGTGTGATTCAGGGCATGGTATGTGTTCACAAATATCACATCGTATTTGGTGCAAGGATTTAGGGTTTGCACAGTTCCTGTGATTGTGTTACTAACAAAGGCAGATGCCTTAAATCTTGATGCAATTGATGAGCTGATGGAAAGGGGTTTTACTGAAGGTGATGCAATGAAAGAGGCACCAGAGGTAGAAAACAGCTGCAAAAGGGCTGTCTGGAAAAGGTTAAAGGTTGGCTGAATGAACTGAAGTTTCCACCTCAAAGTTACCTGATGCTTGCTGGTAAGTAAGTCATGAAGAAAAAAACTGTGGATTAGCATGTGTCTCTTCAGGCATGGAACAGGAGAGTGTAGATTGTAAAGAGCTATTGAAATGCACAGCAAATGCTTTGACAGAGGAAGGGCTGCAAGGATTGCTTATATCATCACAGTGGCCAACTTGGGACTCTGCATGGAATTTGCCATAATGAAGTGAGTAGTAATGATCAAGTTCTGCAGGGTACTGACTATAGAAAGGACATTGAAGGGGGTCATGAACTATAGGGGTGATCAGATTAAACTGGGCAAGTTGGCACATGACCTTTCAACATGGTTCCCATTTGTAAGCAACCAGTTTGTTGGGGGAATGAGTGGCTGATTAGGATATAGCTGGTGTGTGAAATCCTGCAAGTGCAAGTATAACTGATACTGAAGGCAATTGTTGTCATTGTGTTGGACTGTGATTGACAGCAAGTAAGTTGACTCATTGAAGATGGTGGTGGATGCATGCTGACATGTTTACTCCCACCTGGTTGGACTGGGGTTCATAGGAGGTGAGTGGAGTCATGGCAGATGGCAGATGGTGGTGGATGTATGCTGACATGTTCACTCCCACCCTGTTTGATTGGGATTCATAGTATGTGAGTGTGGTCATGGTAGATGGTAGTGGATGAATGCTAACTATATTCACCCCTGCTTTGCTTGCATGCATAGAATGTGAGTGGATAGATGAATGATGGTAGCCATGGATGGTTACTGGATTTGATTTTCTCTCCTACCCCATTGCATTTGCTTTCATAGGATGTGAATGATATTGTGGCAGCATCTGTTGTAGGAAAATGTATACTTACAATCCTTACTATTTTACTGTTGACCTCTGGGTCTTAGAGAGTGAGTGATATAGACACTGCCTATTTAGCATGCTTCTCACAAGGTCTTCTCATCAAATAGATGGTGAGCTTGATCATTGTATGTATCTCTGCCATATTGCTGAGGCATTGTGTTAGGATGTAGGTGCAGGTCTTCCCATGTAGTCTGCCTTTTTCTTATTCCTCCACCTGTATCTCTCAGCATGTTAGTTGCAATAATTCCTCTGAAATCCTGACAAAGATTAACCTATTTCCAGATTGTATGGTTTCTGTTCCAAATCCTGCACTCATCCATTGCCCATATGTTTTACAGTTGGTTGGTCACTCTTTTTCCTACTTCAACATTAGTTTCATTTTACCCTTGATATCTTGTCAGGTGGTATGTTTCAATTCTTTTTTTTCTTTGCTAGCTGCCTATGATGTGTTGAATTGGTTGGTAATAGCAACCCATCAAACATAACAGCACTTCTATCTCCATCCCTGCATTGTCCACATCACAGCAGCATCCCCTGAAGGCACTTGTAGAACATGGCATTGGTAAATTATCTTTTCTTGCTGTTGCTTTAATCTGAAGCTCATGATTACAGGTTGTGTAATTGTCTTTGAATACTTATTTTTCCAGTTGCAGGTCAAGGATAGGGGTACTACAAGGGGGGATTTGCCACAGCATCTGACACTGATTGTCCAAAAATATCAGAAATCAGGTGTCCAAGAAATTGTTAATGCATGCATTGCAGAAGCCTTCCAGCAACATGGTGAATGGGTGGATGATTTATACCCCAAGCTTGTGGGTATGGCACAGGCACAGGCACACCAGATGTGTAAGACATATTCTTTACCACAATGATGGAAGTCCTATTTGAATTGTCCACAGCAAAGAAATTCCTGGAATGAAAAAAAAAAAAAAAAAAAAAAAAATATATATATATATATATTCAGCTCTTATGTACTTCACTATTCTTGGTGAGTCCCTTGGTTTCCATCTGCTAACCAGTATGAAGGTTTAATTTGCAGCATCCCAGTGCCTACTGGTGTCTTTTGAGAAATCCCCTATTGCTGTGGAAAATCATGTGAGATTTGGAATCTGTGTATTATTTTGTAAATCCATGTCTTGTCATGTAGTTCTGTCCCACCTTCAAATTTGAGACCTGATTTCTTGCCATCAGTTGTTGGGAATTCATGCTTCCTTTGTATAACCCCATATAGACTGCTGGAATATGGCAATTTATACAATAATTTCCCAAGTCTCATATACATCCAAACTGCCACCACAATGTCATATTTCTCACAAATTTGTCCAGTGCTATTAACCTTTGAATCACAAAGCATCCATGTGCATTCTCTTGTAAGGGGATGTTTTCACTATTCATGGAGTCATTATTCTGAGATGTTTTTGGCAAACAAATTGTAGATAAAGCCAGAAGGCCAATGAGGTCTATGTATGGTCACAAATAAGGGTAGCACATTGGGGTATGGGACTACTGCTTATCATCAATTTGTATGGTGTGTTAAATATCTAATCCCAACCTCTACTGCAACATGCCTAGTGCAGGTACCCCATGGTATTCACACTGTTGTACAACAGAGATAAAACTTATTTGCAATATTTTCTGAGCCTTGTATACATAAAGCATTGGGTGCACTGAATGCTGCAACCCCAAGATGACTACTTGTTCAGGAGGAAATTTTTGCAGAGGCTAGCATGTTCAATACCTGATTAAGAGTATCTTTGAAACTTGCAGAATATCAACTGAGCACTCAACAATCAAGGAAATCCTTGAAGAGGTATGTTGCATGGAAGTGGTGCAGAAGGCCATAAGCATGCATATGAGAATGGGCCATGCTGGCTTTGGAGGGAAACCTCCCAGGGATGAAGCAGTTCACACCCATGCAGCAGGAAGAGTGATCAATACTCTTCATCTAATGAAAACCTTAAATATACAAAGAAAGGGGTTACCATTTATTGAAGAAAGACAAATCTTCCAATGAAGAGCAATGGATTCCTGAGGAAGGATGGTGCAGACAGCAGTCTTGTCAATGAGAACAGGATCACTTGTATGGTAGGGGTAAACAACCTCAGAAGTTCCTAGCAGGGATCACCTGCTTCAATTGCAACAAGGAGAGCCATATGGCTCCTGATTGCCTCTTTCCTCAAAAGGATAAAGGCAAAAGTGTGGCAAAGCTATGATTGTTCACAGTCAATGTGTCAATGTCCAAGAGGACACACAACATGGACATATGTACTTGCAAGGTGGATAAGCTGTAAGAGGAAAATTTGGGTGAGCTTGACAAGGAAGAATTGGTACAAGATATGAGGCAAATATGGATGTTAACCCCAAAGATATGGAGCAAACAGACATTGACAACATCTCAAAACACCTTCAAAACATGTTCCAAGGTGGACAAGGATGACAAGCCTGTAGCCTACTTTGGTGTGTGTTGTTTTTTGCATTTGCCATTCCTGTTATATCCCAGCAACCAGAGAATTTGATTAGCTGGTCTTTGGACATGTTGGAGATACCACATATGTGGACTGGCCTACCTACCAAGGTACAGACCATTCCATTGAGGAATGAATGAGTAGTGACATGATTCATGTGTAGCACAGCCACACTATGGGATAGCATTCATTCAGGGGCAGCTTAGTCACATGCCAGGTTCACAGTGAGGTGAGTACAGTCATGTGATGTCACATGACATGGGATTCCCATCCACATGTCACTACTAGGATCATGTAACTGACCTTTGTGGCAGCCAATCACATGACTGAGCAACCCAGTGACTCTGTCATGCCCATGCATTCATCCTAAGTCCCTAGTCACTCCACACACTACTCCACTTAGACACTTACCCACTCTGCACCAACTCTGCCTGCTCTCTACTCTTTACAAGTCTTCTCCACTCTGCCTACTGGCAGACTTGGTACTAGCCTACCATTGGACCACATGGACTGGTCTACAAGAGGTCATGTGACCCTACTGTCTAGCCTTCAACCTTCTCCTTGACACCATGCAGTCAGGTACTCTGCAGTGTGCACACCTTCTGGTTTGGCACCTAGACTGTTTCTATGTTCTCTGTCCACCCTTCATTTGTTGTCCAGGAAGTTTTCACTTGAGATTTTTCAAGTCTCTGTATGTCAGTTTTGATTCCAGTTGTTGTACCTCAGTAGAAGTATAAAAGCATGTACAGTACTCTGCTGTTCCTCAGTATGAATATCACTGAAGTTCCTACTCCAATCCTCCTTTGTCTTCTCTCTGTTGGCATTATCTCTGAACTTCCATCTTGTCTCTACCTCTGAAATATGAGGGCTGAGATCATGCAAGGGGGTAGTGCATGAGCTGAACCTGACACCCTCACACCATTCTTCTTCTGTCTCAGCAGACTTTGTCTCTGCCAATCCTCCACTAGTTGGAGTTCCATTCATCTGTGTCAGACTTGCTTCCATACCTCTCCCCAGACCCTAATCAGCATCAGAGTTGGTTGGAGTAGGCCCAGACTTGACAGACTGCATACCAGCTGTCACCTGACTGTTGTTTGCATCCTCATGTGACCATGACACACAGCCTCCCATCAGTGATCCTTTGTCATGTGACTTGAGCACTACCACTTGATGCTACACTTTTTGTAGTCAAAGGTAATCAAAAATGTACACTACCAAAGTGTAGCAAAGGCTACACTACACAATGCTAATAACTACTATAGCTGGTGTGGCACTGAATTGCTACTGCAGGATGTGACAATGGAGTGATTTCATCATAATAAAAGCTTTAGCCCCTGATTGTGTGATCATGACAGCATGTTTATCTTATCAGAAGGTGGAGATATGCATGAGAAAAACACAAAATACTCAGAACAACACCATTGTTTACACAAATTGTCACATTGCCACAGTTGGATGGAGATTACCCTTACCTGCTTGGGGAGTCTCCCTATCCTCTTGGATATTCCCCATACCTGCTTGGAAATTCTCCCAACTCACTTGGAGAATCTCCACAGTTGCATGTGTTACATGTTGACCTGCTGGCCTACCATTTTTGTCTGCATACTGGCTATGTGGCATGAGTCAGAGTGTGCTTCAGTGGTGTAAACCAACCAAAACCAACACAAAAGACAATGAAAGTGAGTGGTGGTGCATCTATGCAATACCTAGATGGTGGAAGGTCTTATTCAGGTGGGTTTTTGTGAGTTACAACACTCAAAGATGAGTGCTGAGGGTTGGGGGTACTCCTGACAAAGAAGGAGCAGTAAAGTGAGAGATTGTAATGGGGTAGACTGCTGTCACCTACAGAAGGAAGGATGATGACTTAATGTGGTATTCTGAGCTGTACTGAGCTCAGGGAGGACTTGGAGTGAAGTATATTGATGATAGACAATGATAAGTGAAGTAGATGATAGTTAGACCCTTAATAAAGCCTCAGCTACCAAAGTCAATGAATGAATTACTGAGAGATGAAGAAATGTAAGCAAGAGGGGCTCTCTGATGTCTTCTTCCTTGCAGCTATCCAAGTACAGTGATATATATATATATAGTACAAGGGCATTGCCTGTGGAAAACAAGGTCCAAACACTTGGTAAGTGATTGGTAACTGATAAGTAAGGAATGTAAGTGGTGGGTAATTGACTTAGAAAGCATTGGTAAGCATTGGTAAGCATAAATAAGCCAAAAAGCAAAGAATCAGTAAGCAAAGTCAAACAATTGGTAAGTATTGGCAATAGGTGAGTCAAGGACAGTCAGAATATCAAAGTATGAGTCAAGCATTGTCAGAAACTGAGTAAGTGCACTGGAATTGCATTAGGGGGAAGCTGTGCATGTCACATCTCAAAGGAATCACTTCTAGGCCAAAGTAGGATGACAGAGAGGCAGTGCTGATCTGATACTGATATAGGACATCCATAAAGGGACTGCAGGTGCCAGGTGTCAAAGGGGTCAAGCTTTGGGGGTCTGGGTGACAGGAGAATAGGGGATCACATTTCCCTCCCCCAAACTGTCCTCTCAGTGAGGCAAATAAAAACTTCATGAACAAGACTCTGTTGGAAGAGAGGATGAAAGGGGAGTGTCTTCTGCTGTATCTTGCAACAAGAAGGCAAAGTGTGCATCATACTCATCATGGATGCAATCAGGGAGAGTGGAGAACAGTAGATTATACTGTAGCTGTTGCAATTTTGGAAGAATAATTGATGAGACTGGTATGAAGATGTTGCAGGGAGCAGGGAGGAAGGATCTGTATGCTTCTTGGATTGGAGAGACTGAAACAACCACATAAGACCTTTTTATCCAAACAACAGACCTGTGGCAACTAAAGAATGTCCTCCTGGAGGCCAAACTGAGAAAGAGAACTCCAAGCCAGATGGGCTGAGAGGGGTCAGACAAGGATGGGATGTACCAGGATGCTTCAGGACAGGTGCTAGTAGGAACTCCTGGTAAATATACATAGCCATGGCCCCTAGCAAAGGGGACAAGTGAAATGATCAACATGGAGGCAGCCATATCAGAAGAATTAGCAAAATGAGTGTCTGTTGGAGGGAGTGCTGTAGAAACATTTGGATTGTGAGGATCTTTCCCAGTTTTGGAAGGTAGGATCATGTGGCTGAGCACTATAAGCAAGTGTGGGAATGGTGTCAGTATCAGCAGAAACAGGGGAGATATGTTGAAAACCAGAATGCTGTACATGGGCACTAAGAATTTTTATGGGTGCTTAACTTGTTTCCTTCTCTTTTCTTTGGCACTGATGACTAGTTCTTGTGCAAAGGATGACTGCCAATATTCCTTGCTGTCTTTCTACACATTAGGGCTCCAGTCTTTCATCTCCATTCATCAGCAACATCCATGTCCATGTCACCAAACACCTTTGGTGTGGGACAGTGGTCATGTGCATAGGGGTTGGATTGGTACTTGTGGTTATGTTCATCATCTGGAGCATGGTCTGGATTGCACTCCATCCT